GCGACCAACGCCGTTGCATTCTTAAGAGGCTCCGTGGTCAATCCTCATCTTCCTCACCGCGGTAGTCTTCGTTGATCTGCCAACATTCGGCGGACTTAAGGAGAATGAAGGGAACGCCTGTGCTATCACAACAACAACAATCACAGCAGCAGCAACGATCTACACTTATCTTACTCATGAAGCCTCTCGCTTGTAAACTATTCTTTGCATCGATCCAAGATTGGTATCCTTGTCAGGAGCACCATCTAGATTTCTCTATACAAGGATATCTCTCTATTCTGTTGAGAAAGATCCTCTATTCTGTTGAGGGAAATCCTTTCTCCTAATCTATATAAATAGGAGAGGGAACATGTTAATGTATGAAGCTAAAGCTATTTCATTTCTACAATAAAGCTTCTTCAATTATTGTTCTTATCTTCTATTATTTCTATCAGAATACACCAGTGTTTCATAAATTATAACGTTTTGAAGTTATGTATGCATTCCTAAGGAATACACCAGTATTTCATAAATTAATAACGTTTTCAAGTTATGTATGCATTTCTAAGGAATACACCAGTATTTCAAAATTAATAACGTTTTCAAGTTATGTATGCATTCCTAAGGAATACACTAGTATTTTAACAAATTAATAACATTTTCAAGTTATGTATGCATTCCTAAGGAATACACTAGTATTTCAAAAATTAATAAGTCAAAGGATGTTGCATCAATCTAAACAATTGTTGACGTGGAAAATGACAATAATGGTAATATAACCTTGAAGTTATATTGCTAATTAGGTTGTTGCTGTACTTTTATAAATTATATTGAAATTCATATACTTATGAAACTAAAAATATTTAATCTCATCACGTTGTCGATTCTACTAACGAAAATATCTTAGGACTTATCACTAAACATATGCTGCCTTACTTTGATTTACCATTGAACACATGTGATATTTTTATCAGTAAAATCGATGACAGAATAAAAAACAAGATTAAATATTTTAATTTCGTTCCTAATATAATTTTTAAAAATATAAAAAATAAGATACTAATGATAACTAATTACATGAGTAATCTATAATTAGCCCTCTTCCAAGTGACCAAGAATCAGCATCAGCTGCTTGGGCTTGAATTTGAACAGCAGTCATACTGATATCAAAATTGTTTGGCCAGAATCCTATGTGGTCAGCAGTGATTGTGGGGTGTGTTCCAGTATAGGGTTATAGATTTTGTTTAGGTGCAGTTCATTATATCCAGGATCACAAAACATACGCGTACATCAAAAGCCCAACTGTAAAGATCAGATCAGGACCAAGCCATAAGACCGGAAGAAACTGAGGTGCTTCAGATTGTACCTGATATATTAAGGAATCACAAATATCAATGCCTATTTCACCAGGGAAAAAGATATCAATACCACTCGATTCCCCAGGATCCATCTTGTTAACGAATGCGTGACATGATTGCAAGACGAAATTGAGTTTGAACTTGACGATTCTACAGGAAAACAAGTAGAGCGGCCGTAAGTACGGACAGCGATTATGGATGAACCATAAGGCAATCAGTTGAAGAGTTGTTTGAAACAGTGTCAGCAAAACGTAGAACTGGCTGGCTATTCATCGGTCCACCCTCTCGTCTCAAGCCATTGGTTGTCGCCTCCTGCAATGGAGATTTGCAAAATGTAGAGCTGTTAGAAGCCATGGTAACTTCATAAACAACTGAGAACGAGCAAGCCATTAAGCCTGATTGCTGGAGGGTTGATGACGAGCCATGCACAGTTATTGATCCCATGATCTGCTCGTGGAGATTATTGTAAAATGGATACATGTGCACCATTTTAGCTGCTGCAGTAAGATGAAAACTAGGAGCAAACAAGATTTATCTGCCCAAGCTTATAATCATATTAGATTTGCACAACGGGGCCACGTATGTAATTGCCATTTACAATGCATGATCACATAGAAGTTGAAATTATAAGGGGGCCCTATAATCATTCATTTCTAACATGGTAGCATCATGTTGGATTCTCATGATTAGGAAACCACATTTCTAATACAGACAAGAATTAGCCATCTATTCCTGCAACATGATTCAGATTTACGTACATAATGCTGGTACCAACATACTTGAATGAGTGTACTGCTATGAATAAACAAGTTGCACAAAGTGATTACCTCTTAGGTCGGGAACGATCTTCTTCATAATCCATCATTCCTCCAGGTTCAGAAAAGATCTCTCCGTGGCCTTGTAAGTGCAAGTCGGCCTGCTTAAAGTGTTTAACTTCTGCCACCAAATGAGTAAGACACATCGACTAACATTGCGATTTTTAATACATAATTTAGTTATTCACATGCTTGTATAAAGTCATAGATGATTTACAAAGAAAAAAAGGCCAATAGTTAAAAGAGGTGTTGATGCATAAACATAAACAAACTTCGCTTTTTATTCAAGCATTTGAACTAAATGTGGATTATATTTGTCAACCATTTTTAAAGTTATTCTCAAACAATTAAGCTGACCTTGAGAGATTTCTTCACTTCTTCCACCTTGTCCACAATTTCCTTCCTATGCATCTTGTTGGCCTCACTCATAGTATCAGCCCACTTGATTTTCTCTTGGATCATATGAAGCAAATTATCCGAAGTTCCTGACCTGTACGAGGTGTCTTCTAAAATATAAGTGAATAGAATGCATGAAAGATGTTCTGTCAAAGCAGGTTATACATTCCTCCAGTGGCTCACAGGAGAAACTAGAAAGATCAGAAAAAAGAAAACCCAGCTTATGAAGGACACAAACTTACTCTTTGAACTTTTTCATAGAATATCATATTCCTCGGAAATTAAAATTATAAAACTGAATAGTGTATTCTGTTCTTGGGTAAACTTCTAATCATCTGCATGTCTATCCTAAATAACAAATAAAGATCCATGTGCTTTTTTGGATCACAAGCACATGGGATACAAGAAAGTTGAATTCACAACATGTAAATGTTCCACAATCTCTCAGAATAAATACCAATCAGTTTATTAAAATGAATAGTATTCTAATTCTATATAGTTTTGCACAGCAAGAAATGATGTGTTGAATCCAATGGATAGTAAATAATTTTCTTACAGAGATATGAACTTCAATACTGTCCTATGTGAACAATCAACAAAATGGCTTATATAAGAACAACTTATTCCTATGGACATAATCTCTATAGCACTGAGGATGGTTGACAGCGAATCACATTACCATGTTCAAGTGTTCATGATATTGATCGTTGATAAAGAGTAGGAAAAATATTCTTAATGTGGAGCAAATAAGCAAAGTCAAAAGCTAAGGAAAAAAAGTTACTTCACTGGCCAAGGACTCCCTATAACATAAAAACAAAGCATTCATATTTTAGTGTTACAATCAATTAATTTATTGATTCAGAAAACATTTCCAAATGGATATTGGAGGTGCCTCACTACCCCTATTGTATGGCAAAAGTGTACTGTATTCCTGAAGCACCAAGAAAAGTACATAAACAAAGCTGATAGTTAGGAGTATACAATATTTAAGAACTCATTATAACAGTTTGTGTGCCATATTTCTTCCCTTTCTAGATGTCACAAGTGAAATCGAAACAAGAGTTGCATTAGATAGTTAATGTCCAATGTAAAATCATGTCAAAGCGTAAAAAATGTTGAATTTTAACTAGGTGAAATAGATGGGAGAAATGCTCCTTATTATTATCATAGGAAAAAAGAGTTACTTGTTTCTCCATTCAGAAAAAAGACAATTACCCCCTACACGTATGACCTAAGACATACTAGGGATTACTGTACCCACCCAAAACGGTACAGTTTGGGTGGTACGTATCGGTCCGGGTGTGGACCGATACGCGGACCAAAGTTTGTATTACTGATGTGTACTGCCCAGTACGGGTGGTACGTACCAATCCCAAAGGATAATGATACGCGAACCGCCCTCTACCGGGCGGTACCAATGTCTTAACCTCGTATCCGGCAATACAAGATCTATATTAGGCGATAACGATCGGTTTCGATCGTTATTGATCTGTACCAGGCGGTAACGATCGAAATCCAACCATTACCGACATGTACCGATCGGTAACAATCAGATTTCAATCATTACTGATCAAGGGCTGAGATTGCCCTATTATTTCAAACAGTCAATTTAACTGTTTGAGACTTATAGAAGAGTTTTAAAACCCTTTCCTTCCCCCTATTTTAACTCATTTGACTCTCTCAATCTTTTAAGTTTCCTTAAACTCTTTTTCACTCACATCTTTCTCTTAGTATCACATTTTCATTCTCCTAAACTCAACAAAGCTATGATTTATGGATTGGATCAAATTTAGAAGGCTAATTTGAGAGGATTAAGAGGGAGAACACTTTGTTCAAGAGGTATGTATTCTCTTTCTAAATTTTTATTGGGTTATGAGATGATTAAGCCTATTCTATGTGGTGTATGACTTAATGTCTAATATGTTCTTTGATATGTTTTTAATGGTATAATAGTGTTAATTAGAGAGTAATTAAGGTCTTTAAATTTGTGATTAGTGTGTTTAATATTGATTTTTTTTCAAAATTAGACATTTAATAGGTCAAATCTTTATATTTCATGCATATTAAGGATTGAATCATACGTTTGTGATGGTATAATAGGTTTAATTAGATTTTAATTAATTTTTTTAATGTTGTAATTAGTGATTTTAATGATAATTTAATCAAAATTTGATCGATATTAGATCAATTCAATGTCTTTAATACATATTAAGGATATTTAACATGTTTATAGCGGTGAAAGAGGACTAATTACAAATTAATTAACTATGTTAATACTACGATTAGTGTATTTAATTACAATGATATCCAAATTTGACCCATATTGAGTCAATTAAATATCTTTAATGCCTATTAGAGTGTTTGACATGATTATAATGTTGAATAAGAAATAATTAATAGGTAATTAACCATATTAATGGTGTGATTAATATATCTAATGATAATTTCATACCTATATTTAATCAAAATTATATATTTAATGCTTCTTTCAAGTATTTAACATATTTATGGTGGTAAAATAAATCTAATTAGGCTCTAATTAAGTTCTTTAATACTGTGATTAGTGATTTTAATGATGATTTTATCAAAATTTGATTGATATTGAGTCAACTCAATGTCTTTAATACCTATTAGGGTGTTTGACATGTTTATAGTGGTAAAAATGGACTAATTAATTAACTGGTAGTAGTGTGATTAATGGTTTTAATGATGATTTAATGATATTGAGTCAATTCTACATATTTAATGCACCTTATTATGGCTCATTATGACACGTATAATCACACCTTGTTATTTTAAACTAAGGGTAATCATAACTTGCTTATTTGATTTAAATTTGGTAGGAACATGACACCAAAGGAACAAGCACATGATGCTTGGGATCATGCCTGAAAGATAGACGGGAACTGTCATAATTGACAATGCATTTATTGTGACTACGTCGGCAAGGGTGGAGAAATCACCCGGGTGAAAATGCATTTGGTCAATGGGTATCCCAATGTTACAAAATGCAAGAAGGTTCCGACGGAGGTCCGTAAATCATTTCAAAACAAGTTACAACAAACAAGGGAAGATACAATATAAAAAAAGCAAGAGTTGCGAAAGAACACTATAGGGTTACGTAGGAACCAGTTTATGACGATTATGAGGGTTGCGACGATGAAATTGATCTGGATCTCAAAGCTGGTATTCGTGCATCATTGGAGCATCTATATATGTACGAGGAAGCAATGAGACATCAACTACCTGACTCATAATAGAAGCATGGCGGTGGCAGTGGATCTGTGCCACAAAGAATCCAGAGGTTAGCCAACATGAGACAACCAACTACCCCTCCTCAATTAAGCCAAACTAGTAGCATGAGATAGGGTGGAATTTATGGTTTTATAAGAGGACTTGGCAGGAGGTTCGCACCATATATTATTGATATTGATCCATAAGCCTATCCTCTACAAACAACGAAACAGACACGGATTGACGATACATATACAAAAGAAAAGAAGCGGGATATTGGGAATGTAATTGCAAAATGGTTTAACTTCCACAGGATTCTAGCAAACACAACTCAAGGTCCATATTATCAGAGCATGGTCTCCTTTATTCAAAAGTCTGGCACGAGGATCCAACCTCAAACATCGAGGGAGATCCACGACATGCATTTAGATGAGGAGGTGACAGAACTAAAGGATTGGATCAAATCCTTCAAGAAGCAATAGGACAAATATGAGGTGACACTAATGTGTGACGGTTGGACATGACCAATAAAAATGAGTATCATCAATTTTCTTGTTTATTGCAATAGATAGGTGGTGTTTCATAAGCCAATTAATGCTTTCGACAAGATTCAAGATGCAAACTACATTGAAAACTTAATGGACATCGTAGTAGAGATTGAACCACAATACATTATCCAGATAATCATTGACAATGAAGCCAATTTTAAGAAGGTCGATTTACAATTGATGGAAAAAAGGAAAACAATATTTTGAACTCCATATGCAACTCATTGCATAGATCTAATGCGGAAGGATATTGGCGAACTACCATTAGTCAACAAGTGTGTAACTCAAGCACAATTGATCACAAAGTTTATATATAATCATTATTGGGTCCACTCTTTAATACAAAAGTATATAAATGGTGAGATATTTAAACCTGAAGTCACTCGGTTTGCTACAAATTTCATTGCCTTAAAGTCAATATAGCAAAAGCGGCAGTGCCTCAAGGCAATGGTCACCACACAGGAATGGTCCGAATCCAGGTATTCGAGATTGAACGATGAAAAAAAAAAGATGGAAAAGACCATTCTTTCTTCTAGATTTTGGGAGACCGTAAATGAAATCATAAAAGGTGTGGAACCACTTTACGTTGTCCTCCATAAGGTCGATATGAACAAGCATTCACAAATGCCTTATCTTAGACATATGTTGATTACAACAAGCGAGGAGATCAAGAAAGCATTCAAAGATGATTTTAAGGCCGACCAATACTTATAGATCATCGATCGCAAGACTAAAGTTCATATGGACCAAGATATCCATAATATAGTTAAATTCATATTCAGTGTAATTTAATTCATAATTTTTTAATGTATAAAAAATTCTTACTAACTAAATTATGTTTTGCAGCGTATTATCTAAATCCGACAATTCAATTTCAATATAGTCTTGGAACACGATCAGATTTATTTTCGACACTAAGAAATATTATATATCGAATCTTGTCAAGCACTACTGATGCAGCCGATGCTATTATGAAGGATCAATTATTCCGAGAAACAATTGGTTCATTCTCTGACGTTATAGCTATATCGTGTCATTACAATATGGATCCTGATGAAGAAAAGTTACACACATATTGATTATAAACTATATTTGATATTAATTATTTGTTATGCTAATAAAGTCTTATTTATACTTTTTTGCAATTGAGTGGTGGCTACAATTTGGAGGGGGCACACCATATTTAAGGAAGGTTGTTGTCTGTGTACTTTCATAGACGACATCTAGTGGTTGGGAAAGTAATTAGTTAATGTTTGCATTAATTCACACGAAGGTATGCAACAGACTATCGTATAAACGATTGAGAAACTGGTATATGCCCACTATAACATGCGGCTAAGGTTGTGGTGTGTCGAACTGGACAAGGAGCCAGAGGAAACAGAGATTGATCCCATCGACCTCCAATTCTAAAATGAAGATTCAGAGCCAATGTTAGAGTGGGTCAAAGTGGCGAAGAACCAAGAGGATCCTCTACTTGATGAGGCTGGAGATCCTCAACGGCCTTCGTGTTTTATCACCGAGGGAATAAAAGAAGAGGAAGCATATCCCCAACAGGAGGAAAATTCCCCTTGATCAGAGCGTGGCGGAAGGAGCCAAACAAGATCGAGTCAAACTGCTCTAGGAACTAGAGACACCCAATCGTCACGGTCGTCTGCCCAACGTACAAAGGCAAAGGCAAAGGGGAAGGCAGTAGCATCAGCTGCACCATTGGAAAGAATCGAGTCGGGTGACGAGACACCTTTGCAATCGCATTCAACAATTAGCTCGGTATTAAGACATGACAATGACGTAGACAATACTACCTCAACCGATGATAGTGATGACGTCGAGGAATTGATAGTCTCATCCATATAATTTGAGGGTGGTGCATAGATCGAGGAGCAGTATTTTACACATGCCACCCAAGATTCAAATCATGGAGCTCGACGAGGTACTAGTCAAGTTTATGCACAAAAGGAAAAGGGGAAGCCAATATACATAGAACGAAAACATAGAACGAAACTCATCGTATTCACAATCGTCGTATTATGGAGAAACTTACGGCCAACAGCAGCACGATGATAGTTAGTCATTCTCCGAGCAACAGTACGATGATTGACCTTATGATACGGAGCAGCAGATCAATAACGAAAGTAGAAGTTCTACAATTCACTATGTTTCGCACTAATATATGCCATATTCGTCATTGCCTCAGGAGCTACCTCGGACACATGTGGTTCACGACGATCAACCTACGACCATCACCACATCGATGCACCAATCGCATACGGTGTATCAGTACACTATGCCATGGGATCAATTTAAGGATTGGGTCCGACAAACATATCATATTAATATACAGATACATAGGATCGAGGATCTCGATCCATCACTCATAGAGTCTCGTCATTCTATTTTATGGTAGAACCAGGTATATCCATCGATTAATTAATTCGTTCATTTGAATCTTAAAGTTTAAATTGCATAAAAAATAATCTAACAATTCAAATATATATTTTTGTAGATAATTCAATATTAATGGAAGGATGATCTGGAACATACCACAAGGCTACTCCTCAAAGCCCCAAAAAGATATATGGCACAATTTTTTCCTAAATTACATTTTTTGCTAAAATTATACTAAAATTATATTTATTTATAGCTTAAAAACCCTATTCTAACCTTTTTTTTCTATTTTTCAGGTATTTTTGAAGATTTTTCAACTCATTTTGGGCGTACCATCAGTATGCCTTAGTACGTACAGTACTGAGCAAGGCTCGATACACCGGTATGGACCGAAATTACAAACTTTGACATAGACCACCCCGTTTCAGGCGATCTATATTAAAATAATAAAAAATCAAAAAAGTGGTGGGCCCCTATCCATTTCAGCATTAAAAAAAAAGCATATTAGGGCTCTTCTCGCGTTCGAAGCTGCGACACTACCTCTTCGTCGGTGCGATGCTGCAGTGACAATGCTTCTTCACCGCTGCAGCGACGCTACCTCTTTGTTGATTCGCCACTGCAATGCTGCAGCGAACCTTTCTTCGTCGCTTCGCCGCTGCGGTCCTACAGTGGTGCTGCCTCTTTGTCACTTCATCGCTGCAGCAATGCTACCTCTTCTCTGATTCTCCACTGGATGCTGCAGCGACACTGCCTCTTCGTCGCTTTGCCGCTGCAATGTTGCAGTGGCACTGCCTCTTCGCCGCTGCAATGCTACAACAGCATTGCCTCTTCACTGCTGTGATGCTACTGCTTCGTTTCGACACTGTTGCTGCTGCCATTGCTTCCTAGGTATTGCTACACTTCTCCTCCTTTTCTTTCTTCTTCTTCTTCTTCTTCTTCTTCTTCCTTCTTCCTTCTTCCTTCTCTGTTCCTCCACCAGACCTTCCTCTTCAACCTCATTTTCTTCCTCGTTGAAACATCAATATGTACCAGCGTATCGTGTGTCGATACACCAGTATGAAGCGGCACGTGCCATGCCGTTGACCGGTAAGGCACACCAGCTCGGACCAGTAAGTCATACCTTGAGACATACTATATCATTAAAATGAATTCTTAATTAGTATGATCTACATAGATACTGAAATCAATGCTTGTTACTGAAGAAAAACATTAACAGGCAGCTGCTAAATCTTAAGGTAGAAAGTATAAACAGCCATAAAAAAAGATTACTACATACCCTGCTAAAACTATAACTGAGCAAATACAAAGAACCCACACAGTAACATATAGCCAAAAAATCCTAGTCAAACTGAAGCCAAATTTGAGAATCCTAATCAAACTGAATTTAAATAGTAATAAAGACCTTGCAGGTGTAAATAAAATATGTTCTAAATCAAGAATTTCTTCTCAAACTACTTCAGGAAAAATACCCGTAAACAGAAATTTCAGTGCTACCTGTGGATGTTCACTTAATATCATTGGTAAGCCATTTTACAACTTTCATAAGTACTAAACTGAATAAGTGACTGTATATTCATACAAATTAGTCCAATGAATGCACTATTAAATCACTTTTCCATAATCAAACATTATCAAGATCCTTATATAAGAAAACAAAGATACAACAAAGTGAGAAGACTCCCATGGCATACATACAACCATGGAAAAAATATATACCAGTTATTTAGTGTCTGAATCATGTTGTCTAGTTGTTCAGGTCTAAGGTCCCTTCCAGCTGCAAACTGAACCTGTACCACAAGCCAAAATAGAAGGGGAAATAAACAGGATTGCATGAAGCATTACGGTACAGATCTGTTTTTAGTGAAGAAAAAAAAGTATACAAAGATTGACAGGGCAGCACATTTACCAACCTCGAAGCACCTGCGTGATTGATCCAGTTTTCCTCTTACAATACCCTTTAAGGACCACAATAATAGCATAAGCGTATTGCTCAATATCAACATCTAAAACTTCATCATTAACTGATGGAAGTTAATATGCTCTAAATAAATGTCTTTATATCTGAAATAAGTACTCCAAAGTACCCAGTAGAATCCATGAAAATGCCAAAATTTGGTAGCCGCAATGGTACATTGCACGACTATACAGAAGAAAAGGACTTGCAGTTACATGATAAAATGTTCAACGATGCAGATAGAAACTTGTGGAATAACATGGACGACCATGTAATAGAAACAGAGAAAGTGAATAAGAGTATATCATTCATCGATAGGAAAAATCAGTGCCTTCATCAATTATACAATTTCATTCAGTAAACATATTCCGCAAATACTTACCACATACATGCACTCATTGATAAGGAAATCTTCAAGTTCCCTAACATTTGAAACATCCAGCTCTTCCATGAGATGATCATAAGACAATACCTAACAACCAGCGAAATAATTGGATATCACCATAATATAACTGCAATTGGTTAAAGATATTGAGGATAAGATGGTTCATCAAGCAGCCCAAAAAGTCACAATCACCCAATAACTGATCTATTGTCTCATCTAATCTCAATGACATCTGACACTATATGAACACATTGATGTAGCAAATCTTATAAAGTAGGACACAACAGACCAATCAATACATGTACATCTGCATATATATACTAATTGTATACTATGTACAACTTACACAACCTATGATCATATATAATATTTATAGAATCAAATGACCTGTTCATAAAAATAGGTAATACCACATAAAAGTATTAGATTGATATATACAACACCAATGAATAAATCATTCAGTTTTGGCAATGAAAACCTTGAATGATGTTCTGGCCCCAGAGCAGGTGATTGGCCCCACTCCCTCTACAGACTTTTACTGGATTTTCTTATGTATTTCCAAGTGAAAAAAAGATATATGGTGGTATCATAACCGATATAAATCATCCAGTTAAATCCTATTCAGGAATTTTATGTGTAATGTCACCATTTTCAACAATTACTTTCACAAATCTCATTGCTTTCGGCCAAGAATAGTTTTTCCATATTATTGTTAACCTTAAAGAAGATCTAATGGAGCAAAGTAGCGGGAAGGTTGTCAAAACATAACACTGACAGAAAATCATCTCTCATCATAAAGGTTTGCCTTCTTTTTTTTTCTGTTTACTTATTTTAAAAGTTAAAACTACCAATGGACAAACAACACAAATCAATAAGTCACACAGAAGAAAATGTGAAATGTGTGTTCTACATAGCAGCGGTTTATTAAAATATCAACCGAAACACAAATGACTGAATTCCTGGTTAAGCCTGAATCACAGGAGACCCTCCATCAGGCAGTACATTACTACCTATACCACCTAATGAGTAATGACTATTTCATACCAGTTATATACTAGGAACTATTTTGATTGTACCACAAAGCATGGTCTGTTAAGTTATTTCCACCTACTCTCTCTACTAAAAAAGCATAATCCTTCCATCCCTTCCACAACCCATTTTGTACACTCACATGAACCTTAACCCTTCTCATCCCCCTTGCCGCACCTCCTCTCACTCATGTTCCAGATTGATCCGCAACAACGAGATTTGATCAACATCCATCTGCAGCATAGTGATGTAGAAATAGAGATATCTGAAATATTCTTTTAGATAATTGAATGCATAATTAGAAAATTAGGCAAAATAGATTCTCTAGGTAAAGCCTTGACGTGAAAAAAAACCTTTTAGGTTGATTGAATTACCACAGAAGTCTCCCACAAGAATCCATTTAGTTTTAGGGTATTAGGTGGATGTTGCATTCATATAAAGTCTTTAATATATCATAAATAAAGTTGAAATTGCATGCATTATTGAGTTTGTACTGTATACTTAATTGAGTCTGTATGCATATTAGGTGAATAATATATTGTTGTAACTTTGAAGCCCACGAATACAGAGAAAACTGAAAAGCATAAATTTCCAATTGTGATCAACAAACTCACATGAAAGAAATTCATGTTTGCAATGTAGTATATTAACAAAAAAGCCTGCAAAGCCAATTAAAGACGAAAAACTGACCCAAAAAGAACCTATAAAAGGTGAAATGAAAAAAATAGTATGGCCTATTTTTTGGAATAAAATTGTCCCACTTGGATGATAAGAATAATTCATAAGCACCTTTTCTATCTCAGCCAGTGTCAACACACTTAGTTGCTTCAGCTTGCGGACTTGATCAGGTAATAGCACTGGAAGACAACCAGCATTACCTATAATAGGTGTGAACATTCCCAATTTATCAGATCCTTAACTGCACAAAAAATTCATTATGCAAAACTACAACTATAATTACTATCATTCCTTTCAATAAGGAGATGTGAACGATATTAGGCACCCAACATATATCAAGAATTATTATCTAGGAACTGCAAGTAAATATATTTTTGAACTATAGAAAGATGGTATTCTTCAAGAGAGAAAAGATAAAACCATAGCCAGATGATTAAGTGATCCACATAACATTGTGTGTTGACACCAAGGAATCAAATATTGGTACCAAAATTAATGATGATTCTAAAGAACCCAAATATACCAACCGGTACAGTACGGTGACCTCAATAAATTTCTGGAAAAGAATTTATAAATTGATGCATCCTGACTAGTGAATTTCAGATTAATACATCCTGACTAGTGATGTTTAAAGAACCCTTTATGTCCCTGGTTAAAACAACGCACTTGAATAAAAATTATAGAGTAAGAGAACCCAAACACAAGAATTTTCTTGGTAAGAGAACACTTCCTAAAGAAGATATGCCAAACGTGTGGAAAAAGAAAAAAGATAACCATATTGAAAACTTTGTAACCTATAAAGGATGTCTTAAGAGAATACATTTCTTATTTAGGTAACATATATAGCAGTAAGTTGTACAGCACAAAAAGAGACAGATGGTAGTTTTGCTCTCTTAATCAGTCACAGTATCGTATAATGAAACCAAAGAAAGAAAGGGCAACACACCAAGTGGCCTAGATAACTTGTCAGGGTCAGATTTAATTGTCAGTCAATGTTGTGGAGTCAAGTCGACCTGGCCCATTTTCTAAAATAAATATTCTTCGGTGCATTCCTTATTCTATGAATATTCCCCTCACCAGTCTAAAAGAGAAGCTTCCCAGGTATGATTAGTGATCTGATGCCTTTATTTCACTTATAAACTTGGATTCTTTACTGATTTGAACATCGGAGTAACCACACTGAGAACACCCTGATGCTAGTCTTCGTAGATGATACTTGCAACACAAGGGATTTAACTTGGGGGAATTGTCCTGAAAAGTCATCCAACTTGTAGAAAATGCAACATTGCTACATGGATTGATGACCCAATCTGACACATTACTACAGAGAAGAAAAAATTCAGCTTCTTCCACTGTTCCCCATAGAAGGTACAAGCTTCTGAAAATATAATCAAATAAAACATATATCATAAAACAATGATATCAAAATTTTCTAGATGATGTTTACATCCATCTCATGATGTCGCTCACTTGATAATAACACATTGACATTTAAACTAATGAAAGATCTTGAGTGGTTATGATCTTTTATCTTCCCATAAAATTGAATAAATAGTGTTATATAGACAAAACAAGCTAAACTCAGTACCCACTAGGTCAATAAATGTAGCTTCAAAAGAGATAAAATCAAAGAAAAATTTTTGATGCAAATCTTCGTAACTTTCATAATGTGATCTTATTCTCTGGTCCACTTCTCTTTGAATCCACATAATTAATAGACCATCTAAAGGCTTCTTAAAACATTCTATTAACCATAACACCCCCGTCCAACCCAAAAGAAAAAAAGAAAAGAAAAGAAGAAAACAGAAAGATGAAAATAATGCATATGAAACTTCTTTACTCTTCTTTCTTTTCATCACCCTTCTCTCCTTTATCTTTGTCATCACAGATTCACCAATCTATAAGATGAGGACACTTCCTGCCCTGAACCACCAAATTCTTCAGTTATCCGCACTCAACTTGTCATCTAGTTGATCTTCATCCCAGATAATTGGGTATAGCATTCTAACAAGTGATATGCATTAAGCATCAAAATATTACCAAGGCCACTATCAAGATAAGTTTTGAACATTTTCTTTTCTTCATCACATCAAAATGAAGTACATTTCTAATGCATTCTAATATTATTTCTGTCATTCTTTCTAGTTTTACTCTGGCCTAAAAACAAAATGAGGAAGGCAGAGATCCATATCTGTTTTGACTAGTATCTAATAAAATAAATTTGATATCAGCAAGTCAACCAACTTAAATGGGTTCAGCATATCAAGAATGAACAGAAACATATGTGCTAAGCATCATTAAAAAAGGCTGATTTACAAAAATAAATGAAGAGAAATAGAAGAGCAACAAGCAACTGATGCCCTTCTAAAACCATGGATGATGAGAAAAGGATTCAGATAAAGTGGAGAAGATCATAACTGGTTGCTGCTCCCTACTTGCAGTGCAATCTTCCATGCACTGGCCTGTACACCACTTGCATTAGAAAAATCGGGCGGGTGGTGGGGGTGGGTGGGGTGCGGCGGGGTGTGTGTGTGTGTGGTGGAGGAAGTGGGAGGTGGGAGGAAAATGAGATGTGACTTGAGTCTTGCAACTCACAACTTCCATGAGTCAACAGAATGAGTTCTGTTAATTTCTTACAAAAAGTTCTGAGACTTAAGAAAAAAGAGAAAAGAGGAGACAAGCAAACAAATAAAAGAGATGAGAAAAGGAAAAAAAATAGAAGAAGAGAAACGAAAGAAGAGAAAAAAGAAAGAAAAAGGAAAAGAGAAAAAATATTTTGTTTTCCAGTGGACTATATTTGTTTAAAATTTTTATTGACTCAAGAAAAATGTCAATAAATTTGTAAGCATCAACATAACAACCCATTATAATACAGAATTAGGTCACTTAAAGAAGTTCTAAACTTCTGATTCTTCACATATTAATGCTTCGCTAAAATCAACTGCTATAAAATCCATATCTTGCTCCTCTAAGAAGTTGACAATCTGTCGTTAGTGTGATGCTGATTTCAACAGCAGCCATGTGCTGTAATACATCCTAAAAGTATCCATACTTATGAAAAATACAGTATAACCCACCATTGCACCTCTGGGTAAGCAAATTCGACCAAAGCAGAAAACTTATTTATGCTATCAATTACAAAGCAAAAGAAATTAAAAAGAAAGACTAAATGATGCAAGAAATCAATCAGGAAACACACTGTGTAAATGAAGTAACATACACATCTCCAAACACATTCTCTTGCATATGCCTAAATATGACCAGTAAGGATACTGAATCACAAAAAATAGGCTTTCCAACATCTATTTACGTTATACACGACAAAGATAGATAATCACATTGAGTTAACTGTATATATCACAGTGACCTTTCTGACCATTCACCATCTCTATCATCTATAAACAAAAAACCATCGTTCCCACACACTCCAATTCAGTTTTTATTCCAGTTGCACGAGAACAAGCTCCTCCGTAATTTTTATGGCATTATGACGCTAATCATACACACAAATTTCTGTTATGAACAGATAAGAACTGCAAACATCCCTAGAACGACAATGCAACATCAACCCTAGCAGATGCAAAGTTAAAACTACGATCAGTTACGCTTACGCTTGTAATCGCTCCATGTGCCGTAGGCGAACAAGCGAAGCACATCCAGTGACGACGAATACTGCGTTCCCTTCAACTGCATGACGGATTAAAATAGTCTAAAAACTCGGAAAAGAAAAGAATCCGAGAATTGGATGGTCAACAACAGAGCAGGAACGGAAAGGGGATGGAGGAGGTCACGAACCCTGGCAAGGCTGGGGACGGAAAGGATCTCGGAGAAGGCGAAGAGGAAGGGATGGGCGGTGGCCTCGAGGATGAGGCCGGCGAGGTTGGGAGCGGCATCGTAAAGCGCCGCCGCTCGCTTCACGAAGTCATCGATGATCTCCGATTGCCTGCGCTCCATGTCCATCCCCTCCCCTCCCGTGAGATCGATGGGATGGTGGCTCGAGGTTTGTTGGGACCCCTTTTAAGGTTTGTCGCGTGAGACCAACGGGTGATGCCCATCGCACGCAACCTTGACGCTTTATGACGGTCGAGCCGAACCCAACACAACCCATTGCGGCCGACTCAAACAACATATGGAGCCAACACCACCGCTACAAGCAGACAACACAGCCAGTGGGCTGACTCAGCTACTTGTAAAACGCTGCAGAGAAGGGAGATTCCATGAGATAACACGTCTTCCCTCGATCCAAAACAGCGAGACAATTAAAGCAGGGACAGCGGAGAAACCGTGCAATGGCACATGCCCTCTTTTCCTCACCTCCGCCACGGCCTGATGCTTTATCGTGACGCATGTAAGGTGTTTGTGTTTTTGACCCGCCAATGAAACGCCGAGGAAGATAAAGAAAAAGGAGGACGGAAGGAAAGATGGGGTCGCGAGTTAAAAGGGTGAGGCGAAGGCTGCAGTGATCCTTTGATTTCTGTGAACAATGGAGGCCTGTCTTGGCCGGTGCTTTCCTTCTCTTTTTTGAGTCTCGGTCTTTATCTCTTGTCAGTCTGTTTTCGGTAGGTGCGTGGAATTGGCGCCACGGACGGACGGCAGAGTCGGTCGGGGGATGGGGTGCACGGCGTCGCGGGTGGAGAACGAGGACACGGTGCGACGGTGCAGGGAGCGGCACCGCCTCATCAAGGAGGCCGTGCACTCCCGCCACCACTTTGCCTCCGCCCACTCCGACTACCTTCGCTCCCTCCGCGATGCCGCCGCCGCCCTCACCCGCTTCGCCCTCGGCGAGCCCCTCGGCGTCTCCGAGCACGCCCCTCCGGTTCTCCTCCGCTCCTCCGCAGGCCCATCCACGCTCCCGCCGCCCACGCCCCAGCCACATCCGCCGCCTCCCCCTCCATTCTACTTCTCCTCTTGCTCCTCCCCTCCTTCGCCCTCTCCCGGCATTCAGCTCCCTCGCGTCCTCCCCGTCTCCGGTTCCACCGACACCAACCTTCGCAATCCCTCAGTGGCCGCCCCTCCGGGCCGCTTCGCGGCCATGAACTCTACGTATCCCGCCAGCCCCTCCCACTCCTCCTCCGCCTGGTCTACCTGGGACTGGGAGTACTTCTACCCTCCCTCTCCCCCAAGTTCCGAGTTCTTTGATCGTCGGAGAGCCGAGCTCGAGGAGAAAAATCGCGATCAGCACCATCATCTCGCCATGGAGGTAGAGAAGATGGAAGGAGGAGGAGGGAGGGAAGAGGTCCACTGCCGCCAATGGGGTGAGCCCCACTCGAGCTCCACCAGCTCCTCCACCAGATCCGACGACGAGGAGCCGGAAGCGGATAAGGACTCGAGATCCACCGCGATCTACGCCAGATCCGACTACGACGGTGCCTCGGAGCGAAGCCGGTTGACGCCATCGGAGATCGGGTCTCTCACAGCGACGGTGGTGAAACCACAGCAGTGGGTAAGGTCGGAGGCCGGATCGTCTTCAGCGCAGTGGAACGCAGGGCGGCAGATAATCTCCTGCGCCTCCGCCGCTGCAGCGGAGGAGCTCAAGGTGGTGGTTCGCCACCGCAACCTGGCGGAGATCGTGGCAGCGATCGACGAGTACTTCGCGAAGGCCGCTGCCGCGGGCGACGCGGTCTCCGATCTCCTCGAGACCGGCCACGCCCGGTTCGACCGCAACTTGTCTCATCTAAAGAGTTAAGTCCCGTCCATGTACTGGTGGTCATTTATTTCTAGAATTTAAGAATTTTAAATATTAAATTATTTCATATATGTATATATATATATATTTTTCTCAGAGACGGTGTACCATTCAAATGGTGTACTGAGAGCGCTATCGTCGAGTTGGACATCGAAGCCGCCACTGGCGATACGGTATCAGTTGAATACGGAAGCCATGGAGTCGGGTGGAGGAAAGAAGAGCCACTGTTGTACCTTGGAACAACTCTTGGCGTGGGAGAAGAAGCTCTTTGAGGAGGTGAAGGTAGGATTGTGTTTCATGTGTGTTCACGAGGAGAGTTGATGTTGATTGTTTGATCTTTATGATTGCAGGCTAGAGAAGGTGTGAAGATCGAGCATGAGAAGAAGCTGTCGACTTTGCAGAGCCTCGAATGCAGGGGAAAAGATGATTCGAAGCTGGACAAAACCAAGACTTCCATAACTAAACTGCAATCGCTAATCGTAGTCACATCTCAAGCCGTGACTACCACCTCTTCTGCTATCACACGAGTCCGTGACGACGAGCTCGCACCGCAGCTTTTCGAGATCTGCTACAAGTGAGTTGAGAAATCTGATGCATGCACATTACATTTATCAAATCTGATATGCAAGTTTGCATGCAGCCTTCTGAGTATGTGGAAGCAAATGAACCGATTTCATGAAGCTCAAAACCATGTCGTCCAACAAGTGCGTGGTCTCGTGAACGGCGCCTTCGCTGGTGCGACCACATCTGACCTCCACAGGCTTGCCACACGTGACCTCGAAGCTGCCATTTCAGCTTGGCATTCCAGCTTTGACCGCCTGATTAAGTACCAAAGAGACTACGTCAATGCGCTGTATGGTTGGCTCAAGCTGACCCTTCTCCGAGTCGGCGGTGACAATATCCAGGAAGATCACTCTTCTCCCCTCTCGATTGCACTCACTGCCTTCTGTGAATGGAAGCAGGCACTCGACCGACTGCCTGATAAGGTTGCCTCCGAGGCGATCAAAAGTTTCATGAGTGTCATCCATGTCATCTGCACAAAACAGGCGGAGGAGCTAAAGATTAAGAAGCGGGCTGAGACATACTCCAAAGAGTTGGAGAAGAAGTCGACGTCGCTGAGAAGTATCGAAAAGAAGTACTACCAATCCTACTCGACGGTCGGTATCGGCCTTCCCGGCGGTGGGATTGAGAACAAAGGGCATGTGTTGTTCGACGCGCGTGACCCGCTGGCAGAGAAGAAGCTGGAGATCGCCGCTTGCCGAAGAAAGGTGGAGGACGAGATGGTGAAGCATGCCAAGGCAGTGGAGGTCACAAGATCCATGACACTAAACAACATCCAGACGGGCCTGCCCGGGGTGTTTCAGGCCATCACCGGGTTCTCGGGCTTGTTTGTGGAGGTTCTTGAAGCTGTTTGCCGACGAGCTGGGTCGTTTTAGTAAGAACACCCGTTCCATAGTTTTGGCTGCTTGGATTGTCCACATTACTTGAGAAAAGAAGTAAACTAATAATATATGAAAGGGAGCCCTTTACATCTACTTGTTTATTATAACAGATCTAATATTCTTTGCGACGTCTTTCTTTGTAGAGGCAAAAAATGAGTTGCTCAATTTTTGATTCAAATGTTAATTATTTTTTATCATGAAATATTTCTTTCCTGGTTTCGATAGCTATTTTTGAATGTCAGTGAAATGGCTGGGAGTACACATTTGGGTTGATTTTTAATTGCGAATTAAATACTTTTTATTATTATTGGATCATTTAGTAATTCTCAAAACCATATTTTCTAAGTAGTTAACACATATAAGGTGATTTATCTTTTTTTGTTTTTTGGTCAACCATACATTACTCGATACAACAGTTGATTCCGTGATCAAAATAGACCGACATAAAATATATTCGATATTCGATAGGAAGAGACACAAATACCAGTCATGACGGAAAAAACTGCAATCTGAGGACCTCAATAAGGGGAAAAATACCGTATGGATATTATACATGAATTAGCTGCCGTTTGTGTTTGTGAGAACACAAACACAAATTATAGAGAACAAAAAACAAATCCAACCACTCATTTACACCCACCCATCCCAAGTCAGTGTTGTGCAAATTGCAGATTAAAGTACAACTAAAAAGAAAGATATAAAACAACACACTAGTTGCCGAGCACTGAGCAAAACATTTCCAACATTTCTCCAACACCTCTGCCAAAGATATCAACAGTGCATAAACTTTTTCCAAAAGAAAGTTCTGAACAAACAAAGTGCTAATTTAATGCACGTCCACTGAAATAAGACCTCTAAATGGAAGGTTGGACCTGAAATGAAAAAACCAATTAAATCGGTCCCAAGTATACTTCAACTGATCACCATCAAAAGACCGGTCTTGTCTTTCTCAATGCTTCCAAAGTAAACATCCCCAAAATTGATTAATCTTCAAAATACAACGAGTTACTCCATTGATGAGACCTCCATTAAATTTTTGTGGCACATGATCCAAACATGTCTTGTTTGATCAGACCTTTTTATTATCAAATATTAAAATATAAATTCTCTAAATATGCTGTCTGGAAGAATCTATTAAGTCGTAAGAAAGACAGTAATCTAGTATTTGTGAAATAAATCAAACTGTGCAATTTTGTCATTTAGAAACAAATGTCGTCTTACATCTAAAACAATACTTGTAAAACACATTTCACATGAAGCACGAAATAAATATTACATATACTCTTCTAAACAGCAATAGAAGCACTAGAAGATTTGTCATCCAAGGAAAACTAAATAATTTAAATCAGTTACTAGAAAAGCTCAACTCATCTATAACCCATATTATAACCACGGTAGGACTCTCAAACAATAGACTCAGAATATGACAGTACGAATCATAAAATAACTATTAAAAAATGACAAAATATATCCACAATATCAAAAACTGAAAGCATAAGCCGATTGCCACTAAGATTGAATGAGGGGGGCAGCTTGCTCTGCCCTCTACTTTTCTAACTGATCTCAAAAACTCATGAAAAGCTCCTCCCGTCGACTAGAATTAAATTGTCACTTTCAAAGCTACATGGCCTCCATTTTATGCAAATTCATGAAGAACTAATTACATTCATCTAGGCTGAATTATATTAAACCAAAACATAGTAAAGCTACACTAAGCTATATGAGATTAAACTAAACAGTGTCTCACTAATTTGAATCCCTTAGATAGTTTTCAGAATGCTGATTTAACATTTAATACACAGTAGTTTGCATTGGGCTGATGCAAAAAGGTTGGTAAATTGCTTGTATTTGCTTCCCATCCAATCTCAATGTATCTAAGTAAGTTTGGTTACTGCAAAGAAACCAAGTAAATGGTTGTGTTTCAAATGATTAATTCATAAAAATGAAAACTTAGGGTGTGCAAAATCAAAATAGTTACCTGGGCTTTTGAACTAAAAATGACAACTCCAGTAAATTCAAAACAATAGTGCAATGGTTTATTCACAAAAGAATCCATTAAATTTCATGTTTGCAGAAGCATCTTTACAAATACATCATTCTTAACATCAAATAATTCAATTATGAGGTAAATAAAAGATGGACTCCTTTCAGCTGATAACTGAACATAATTGAACCTGAATATGCTATGGACACGAAAAGTGCAACTAGGAAACCATCATATTATTATCAAGAATGTTAGTATAAAGCCATACATGACTGCAAAATCAAGGATTGACCAGACTATGAAAGAGCAATGCTGAAAAGAAATGAGACAGCACCTGAACACCATTTAAAGAAGAATGTATTTGTGAAGGATAAAATTATATGAAACAAAATAAGAAAACATTCTGTACAGTGTCACATTAATGATACAGTCGATGTTTCATTGTTAAAAAATGGTGTAGCAAACCATCCTGATGTACATCTGTATTAAGTTTGTCAATTGCTAAGTTCAACATCTGAAGTAGTTGATCAATGATATGATTTAGCTTGGTATATTGCATAATCATTTCTTCTATCACATCTCGGACAGTCCTACGTAAAAGCTAGAAGATTTAGGCCTGTTCAGTCAGGACCAGATTATTTCCTTGAAAAGCAATGACCAACTTCAACTACGACCTCAGAACTGAAAATTCACATGGTACATAATCATCAAGTTGGGAGGAAGCAAGTTCTTGCTCACATAGAATTACTAAAACACAATTTCTCTTTGCATAACTGATACTCTGAGATTCTTTTTCCACTCAAGATTCAAGATCTGGTAGTAATTTTTATTTGTCATTGCTACAAAACTCACATCAATAACCACTTGTTTACCAAAATTTTGTCCATTACCATGCCAAAGTTATACTGAAGATTCCATTTCACCAGGCACTTATCTGGTCAATTCTGTAAAAGTCAACAAACAACAACCAACTCAGTTGTTTGTGGTTCCAATGTGCCTCATAAGCGTAGCGATACATATTCTAGAAATTATATATATTCTAAATAGCTTTAACAGTTAAAAATGCTAATGTTGAATCATTAGGATGGCAATTAGAACTCCCAAGTTGGTTTTACATCTCTCCTGCTCTTAGTCTTACTCTATTTCTCAAATCAAGTATGGAGAAGTTGCATGATGATGGCAGCAAAATCAAACCTCTTTGTGCTACTAGTCTCGATATCTTGAGACCACATGCAGAAAAGAACCAACACAGAATGAACTTGTGTGTAGCTCAGACACTTGGATTGGAGATAAGTAATGTAACTAAAAACCTAATAAGTAAACATACTATCCACAATCTTTAACTGTGCTTTGTTGTCTAATAATTAGTTAGCTCCAGAAAACAATGTACCTCTGAAACCAAGAAAACATACATGCAGTCCCAATGGCCTTTTACTGTACTTTGTTGTCTAATAATTAAATAGATCCAGAAGATAGGCAGCCACATAATCATCACAGATCAATATGCTCTGCATGAAGAAAAGCAGTGATTTCCCCTTCTTCGGGAACCAATTTTGTAAGTTTATGATGAAGGCCAACTTGCCAATCCAAGAATGCATAGATAAGAAGCGTATCCAACAAGTTATATTAGCACGTAAATGGAATGTTTAGTACGACATAAGTCCAAAAGAGAACCTTTTTCCATTTTAGTTTTTTATCAAATCCTTGATGGTAGTTCAAGTGACATGGCTCCCTTTGTAACAATACATGTGCATAACATACTTGAAGCTGCTTAAGCTTAAGCCTTAAATCCAGATGTCACGATAAAATAATCTATCCAAGAACATCTCATCTACAAAATGTTTCTCATTGAAAACTTAACTGCAAAGACCTCTGTTGATCCAATAATATGTCTTAATAGCAGCAGACAAGAACAAGCTTCATGAAATTTCTTGATGTCCCTGATTCTGATCCACAGTAGGTAAAATTTCTCATACACTGAATAACATTAGCTGACGGTCCAAATGCAAACAACTGTTCTGACCACACCTTCCTGCCCTCTGCTTCTTAACTCAAGTTCAAGATGCTCTCTCACATAAAAACAAGCTTAGCATGCTTGGCATTAATCCCTCTTTCCAAGTGTGTAGGCATCACATTGAGAAGCTTCCTATAATCAACAGCCTACACCAGCCTTCTTTGATGTTAAATCTGTGCCATGAAGACAAATCTATATGTGATCACCGAACATAACCAAACCGTGCTAACTGAAATAAAAGAAAGGAAGTAATACCATTGCTAGCAAAATCAAGGAGAACTGTGACAGTCTGAGACAACGGCTTATCAGGCATCAAAAAGAATATAGATCAAAGAATAAAATGCTAAATACAAAAGTTTGAGCACCTTAGTAGTATGAACTAGACCCACCACTGCCAACATATCCACTGCCACTCAAACCACGACCAGAATAAAGGGATGTGGATGAATAGGAAGAGCCACCACCAACCTGCAAAAAAAAGTACATTAAAAGATACAGGGTAATAACCACAAAATAACAACTAAAGAATGAGCTTACATCAGATCCACGTGACAGATAACTACTGTTAAGGCTTGATGAGTACATCCGACCACCATCATTGCCACTGCCTGAACCTAAGTATAGATTTCGAAAATACATAATAACCAAGTTTTGAATATTCAATTGAATAGTTGAAAAAAAAATTACATACCTCCACCATACATTCCCTGACGGCTCCCATAAAAGCTATCATGACCAGAAAGGGAAGTACGACTACTACTATATCCCACATGAGATCGGCTAAACCTGCTTAGAAAAAACCTTATTAGATAATTGACAGAATAGTAGTGAATGTAATAGACCAATGACTAGAAATCACATATCAAACCTGTCACTATAAGCATCTCCATATTGCGCACCACTTCCACTAACATAATCCAAGCGAGCCCTTGTCTGACGTATATTTACATCCGCATAACGAGAATCATCCTAAATAGATAACCAAGCCACATAGCCAGAATTTGAAATAGTAGAAGCAAGGAAAAATTTGCAAATGTATTTGAAAAAAGAAACTCAATTAGCACCAACCAAGTCTGAGTAAGGGCGTTTTGGTCCAGGAATTGAATCATAATCTCGGCTGCGCCCCTCTCGATAAGAAGGGACAGGCCGTTCAAGTTTTCTATCATAACCATCATCAATGTAAGCACGTCTATCACCAGGGCGAGTAGCATTTCGTGGAGGAATATCAGAATAAGCAGACCCTCGGAAGGAGTAATCAACTTTGTAAGATGGATGTCTCTCTCCAGGAACTCTAGATCCATATTCAACAGCAGCTCTGCTTCTAGGAGGAGGCAGCTCATCACGCCTACCATAGTCCCTCCTAGCACTGATTTTTGGGTATGAAGCAACTATCCAAAAATATTACAAAACAATTCAGTGCTCTAGATGGTAAATGCAAGCATGATGGCCATGCAAAAGACAAGAAATGTACTTGGTGCAGGTGGCCTTCTCTCGTAGGACCTCTCTGGGGGAGGCAAACGCCCTCTCTCTGCTGCTGCCATTACAGGATGTCTGTCTCTATATCCAAGAGGTCTCTTCACACCACGACCACCAACTGGTACACCACGTGGAACAACTGGTCTAGGGGCACGACTTGGAAATCTATGAGGTGGAGGACGACCATAAGGCACACGGCCACCATAAGCAGGTCTGCGGCCAATCATAAAATTTCCACGAAGCCCACGTTTCACTCTGCCTCTTTGATGCGGCCTTGACAATCTAGCCCTAACTTTGACCTTGTTATCGCCTTCCCCTAGCTCAGCATTGTTAATGCCTTCAGCACATGAAACAGCATTATCATGGGTATCAAAAGTAACAAATCCAAAATCTTTCCTCTTGGCAGCCGGCATATTACGAGCAAGCTCAACTTTCTCAACTACACCATATTTCTTAAGATAATCCTTTACACGGTCCTCATCCCATGCAGCAGGCAAGCCATCAATAAAAACAGTTCTAACCTGAGATTCAATAGCAAATTCATACAAAACCCAATTTAGTACACTGCATTACAGGAATGCAAAAAGGCCTAAAGCCATTTCCAAAATTTCATGCACAACAAACTTACTGCACACAAAAGAAGATCAATAGCTCACTTCTTTTTGTGTTGTGCTGCAAAGAACAAATAGACTAAAACAGCAATCTTGCTACACTGCAGAACAAAATTATACCTGTGCCATGATTTCATCGTCTGGCTCAATGAAAGAATCTGCAAATGCAACCTTGGCAGTTCTATCAACTCCGAAAACTACATCTCTCTTCTGTAGGCGCCTGTAAGCATCCATTGCTTCGGCACGTGATGAGAACTCCAGAAAGGCAAAACCACGATTCATTCCTGCGTTACTCGTATCCTCAATCAAGGTCATGTCTTCCATGTTCTCAACTCCATAGCTCTTTAGTTTCTCCTTGAACTGCATAAGAGATCCCAACAAAATCCAATTCAACAGGAAACATTATAAATAATAAAACTCCAGAAAATAGAACAAGTTAATTCAGTATATTACATGTTCCTTTGTCCATGACTTGCAAATATTACCCACAAAGAGAGTGTCACTATCTTGACTAGGAGCAACACCACACTGCTTACCACGCACCTATAAGAGAAGATGCCTAAATTCTCATGAGTCAAAAAGAAAACTCAAATAAAGATTAAAAAGATGTTAAAAACGAACCACAGGGCTTTTGAGCTCTGAAACAGCACGTCTTGCCTGCTCCACAGTTGCAAAACGCAAGAATGCAAATCCTTTGTTCTTCTTTGTAATTGGATTCATCATCAGACGAATTTCAGTAATCACACCCACTTTAGTAAAAACTTTCTTGAGGTCATCTTCAGTAGCATCTTTATCTAGACCACCAACAAAAATTTCAAACTCCTTACGCTTTTTATGCTCCTTAACTACCTCATGGTGCTCTTCTTCCTCGGCATCAATCTCATGGCCTTCCTCAGCATTTTCATCATCCTCTTCACCCTCTAACTCTTCTCCACCATCTTCAATCTCCTCATCAACCATGTCTGCTTCTTCTTCTTCTTCAGCCATGTCATCCTCTTCACCCTCCTCGCCTTCATCAACATAATCTTCTTGTACTTCATTCTCCATATCTTTCTCACCATAATCTACAGCAGTATCATCTTCAGGATCATCCTCTGGCTCATTGTCCTCCAACTCTAACCTCTCACCTTTATCTTCTTCCATATAAACCTCCTTCACATCATCTTCATCTGAAATGACAAGCATAAAAAATTTGCATCTTATTCAGTTATATTTACACAATAGCTACATATTTTTGATCCTTAATGAGCAAGCACAGAAAAGATTATCATAAAATCTGTTCAAATTTCTAGAATAATTCAATGACTAAAAATAAATTTTTTTATCACTTTGATGACAAACATCAAGATGCCAAAATAATTTTCTTTTTCAAAATCATGTACAATATGGGGATTTATTGAACAGCATCCAAACTCAGAAATCTCAATTTGATTCCCCAGATAGCAAAGCACGATGTTCTATTAATCACAAACCAGAAAGATTTTTGCAATTGATGAAGACATCAGACAAATGACATTGAACCGCATATTTGTAGAAGAAAGGGTGCATGCAACCACCATCAAAGAAACACAGATATGTGACTATACAATAATAGAGTGAAAGTCTAAAGAGCTAGAATGACAAAAACTCAGATTGAAAAGAACAAAATAAATGATGCCGATATTTTAAGTGTAGAAGGTCAAAGCGCAATTGACCAAAAAAGAAGTTGCATAGGGAAAAGAGATAGCTGAAGGGTATCCATCTAATTACTTAGAACTGCCTAAAGATCAATTAAACATTTTGACACGGTTCAAATTAACATGCATAAAAGAAGTCATCATCCTATCAGAAGATTCATTGGTCAGTTATTACAGAGCGTCAAGTACAAGTAAGCACAGCATTGCAAAGTAACTAAATTAGAATAAAGCAAACATAACAAAACTAAGCAATTTTTATGCTAAAATTAAAAATCCATGACAACAATCGAGATGAGAGATAGAACACATGTCTTCTGTATAAAATTAAGCAGTAGATAAGACACGATAACCAAAACAAACCTAAACTCCAGATCATGATGAACATGCAACAAAAAAAGGGGATGTGATCAATTTAATATCCGCATGCTCGAGGCCTTTCTCACCAGAATCTAACACGACAGGCTTCCCGGCAACAGCCTTCTCCACGACGACCTCCTCGACCTTGATTTCCTTCTTCACGTCGTCGACAGGAGCCGTGACCACTTCCACCTTAGGGGGCTCTTCCGCCACCTCGGGCTGGATCTGGGCCTTGGGCGTCCCCTTGGCCGTCCTGGACGCCGTCTTCCTCAGCCCCGCCGACCCACCCGACGCCTTCTTCGCCGATCGAGGAGGCATCTGGGGATCAGAAAATCCAACCAGAAATCAAGCCCTGAACAACCATCAAAATCTAACGTCAAGATCAAAGAAACATCGAACACGCATCCCATACCTTATGGCGCGATCAAAATCCCTGGATAGATGAGCAACGGATCAATCTTGGGCGCAAACCCTAGCTAATGACGTCGCCGGTGACAGACAAACCCTAGACTCCTGTTAATTTATAGGGACTCGAGGTTCCCTCGGGAGCCCAAACGATAAGGAGTTCACCCGAACAACACAATTTTTGTGACTAAATTATCCTTGTTGAACCGCTGTTCTGACTGCAGTCCGGCTCACAAGGTAAGGGTATTTTAGTCATACCGAGAATATGATGGATTCCGGATCGGGTTGGGATTGGATTTGGCTCCGACTAGTCCGGTAAATCAAACCAAGCTTGTAGTTTTACCACATTGTCCTCGATTTGAGTGGCTCTCGTGGCCGCCAATACGTAGAATGATGAAAGGTATTTTCGTCATAAAAAGAGTAGATATTGGCCCAATAAATTATTGAGCGGTTCTCGTGACCAGGGTATTTTAGTCATTCCATGGAAGCAATGAGAATAGCGGGTTCATTTGGACTTCAATTTGGGTCCAATTGGTCTTATAAACCAAACCCAAACCTTATCGTTCAATTAAATTACCTTTATTGAGTTTAAATAACGTGGAAATTCACATAGATCTATTGACTAAAATAGGATAAAATGATTCTTATTCTAAAGCATGAATTTTGGATTCAGAGTGTTTACGTAAATTATATCCAAATTAGTTAAGTACATAGAGTTTGGACTATTTATGAGTTGATTTCAAAGTGGATGCAATCTTAATCGGATCCTATCCTATTTTTATTCTTTAAAAATATTTATTTTTATTTTTTTTACAAAGGGTAAGTGGTGAAGACATGATTTGAACTTAAAGGCCTTATGATAAACTATAATAAGCATTACTAACTAAGCTAATTGACATTTTAAAAAATATTTACATTGCATTGCATGCATAACACAAAGCAATTTTGGAAGCTCTCGAGTATGCGAAAGGTTTGGGCCTCTTCAATATTTGGGTTAAATCCTCTATAATCTGTTATTATAAAGATTTGGGAACAATACTAGATATTAGGATTAATATGAATATATACTTGATTCTTCTTCAAAAATTAGCATCACAGATTTGATTTCATGATAAGCTTGTAGTAGTTCTGTGTACTGCTGCTCCTCAAGCTGTGTACTTGGACAGGAAAAGCTAATTTGGCAATAACAAGGATCACCGGGAACAAAATTAACAAGACAAATGTGCTCAAGATTTCTCACAACTAATTATCAATCTTTCATGCATGTAATCATCATACAAGGATCAGCTTTCTGTTCTTTGCTAGCAAACATGACTTGTGTTTAGGCCAAGAAGCATTTGATGTGCCATTGTGAATCTTCCAGGCTTCCAAGAAGGCTCTTAGGTCGATGAGCTTCGCATTTGAGCCGATGCAACAGTTTGCGTGAACGGTGATCACTTTTCTGAAGTCCTTGCTTTTCTGGCAGAACCCGCTGAAGTAATCGGTGTCTAAGTACCTCACTTTCATGTCCAGTTGTTCAAAGACACCATCAAAGCTCATCTTAAGCAATACATCCTGATCTTTCATGCCTGATGAACTGTTCATCGCACCATACCACCGATTAAACAAAGCTATAGTCCTGCTGTTGGATGAAATAAAATAAAATCCGGTGTTGATTAAGTTGGAGGTAGCGTCGAATGGCTGACCGTTGTAATTGTCACAACTTATCTGCAGGTCCTCTCCACCATTCAATCTTGTTAATGGGTTCCTTAGCCAGAGTATATCCATGTCCTGATAATGATAACAAGCAAGAAAAGTTATATAATTACACATTATTATTAACACTTGTTTCCATAATACAGGGGCTCAGCTGAAATCTTCTTCTTTATGGTAAGAGCATGTACATTAAATTAACAAATAGGTTTCCCAACTCTTGTTCAATCTTTACTCAGTTTCGTTTGAAAAGTGAAGTCCACTATGACTGAGACATAGGTAATAACAAAATTAAGCAGCATTATATGATAAATTATCACTTTGTCCTTCTTTCCTGGACTAGCATGAAGATCTGAACAAAGGACTAAAATTACCAGATGAATAATAAGTTCAAAAGAGTCATAATCCTATTGAAAAATGTAAGAAGGGATCAGAAATGTCAGTCTTATGCTTCTGCAGAGTTCTTCAAAGATGCTTTAATGGGAGTTGTCCTAATCTGTGCCTCTTCTATTTCTTGCAGTGTTCATGCTACCTATGTACTTAGATCTCTTTGTTAGTATCTATTGAAATTACTTTTAACTAAAACAAAATTACTAGCTAGTATCTATTGAAATTGTTAAAACAAACAAAGAAAGAAGTTATAAATGATAGAAGACATTTTCTGTCATGTCTAGTAATACTTGTTTCTTGTATTATCAAAATTTCATATGAGAGATGCTAATTTCTATCATGACAGGAAGAAAATTTTAGTGGCTACTTTACTAGAAATTTCTTGAAATGAAGCCAATTTTATTGACTCAAGGCTGCATTTTGTGGTCATATTTGGTTTGTGCTCAACATAGGCATGTTGAATGAAATCTAAATAAATCATATCAACAGTCATTTAAATTATGTATGAGTACAATTGGCTTTTAGGCACCACAAGTTATATATTGCAATACCACTAGTCTTACCGTGAAGATGAAGCTATATCCACGCCTCAGGACTTCTCTAAGGAATTGAGTTCTTCTCCACATCATCTTGATAAAGTTACCAGACATGTAAAAGGCCTCCTTGGAGAAACTAACACCCTCAGAGTCAAGATGATAGCAGTGAAGTTGTAATGCTTTACATCGATTGAAGGCCAGTTCATCAACTGCTACGAGGAGGAGGTAATTGATCAAGAACTCAGTGTTTTCCCCTTGGTGCAAGCTCAGCAGGAAGAGATCCAACATGCCATTTTCACCAATGTATGCTTTATTTAAAATGGCAATTATTAGTGTCTTATTCTTCATCGAAGTTCCCTCCAAGGCGATGCCCAATTCATCTCGTTCGACACTTTTTCTCTGTCCACACACAACATTGCATAAATGCATGATCTCCAATGAAATAATGAAGGTATTCCTTTTTTTTTTTTGGTCCTGTTCGTATGTGTATGAATTTGTCAAGAACCAGAAAACCAAGTTGGTTATCTCACTACGGCATTTGGATCCTAAATCGAATCATGACAGATTTTTAGATCGCAGATCTGAAAAAGAATCATCAACGAGTATTGAAGCACCATAATAAAACATGTACATGCCTCTGATATAAATTTGTCAATGGCTAAAAATTGAAATTCTTTTTCTACATTAAATTTTAAAGGTTAAACTAGAAAGGGTGTCTTTGTTTCATAGAGGCTATAAAATCACAAGCACTACTGATATCTATGCAGTATATAAACAGCAATTACATCATTCTTAGAGGCTATAAAATCGCTATATTGTAGAATGTCTGTCTCATGTAGCGGACTATGTGAAATAAAAAGTAATTAACACTGCAAAAGAAATTGCTTTAGAGTAAGCTTCTACATCATGATCTGCACAGTAGATAGAGTGATGATAGTAAATTTGTGTGTTGTACAGATTTGTCGGTTAAGAAAATCAAGAGAATAAAATTTTACATAAAAGAAATGCATCACAAAAATTATATATAAATGGTGCAATCAGATAAGTCTTTTTAAGACCTTGGAACTATCAATAGCACCACTGAATTCTTTGTTCGAAGTGGATCACTAACAAAGGAAAATTACAGTGATAGATTTTAAGTATAATTTTAAGTAAGAAATTTAACCCAGCAATTAGCAGTGTGGTTAAGTCATTAACTCATACAGAAGTTTTTACAGAATGCAATTAAAATCAGTTCGATGATGTTATTAACAGGCCGCAGGCAGTGTCAATTTTTATGCCAATAATCCAATCACTAGCATAGGTAAATCAACATTTCAAACATTTGTATTTTGACACCACCATACAAAAATTTTATGATGTAGAAATACGAGCACAAATTCATTAATTGACTATCATGTAAGAATTTTGAAAAACCAATAAAAGTTATGTCTTGTGAGATGAACTTTGCTGACAAACTATCCCTTTCTTTCTGAGAATCTTTTATCAGGCCTCAATTGGGAATGGTTCTCAACCTTCTAAGTCAAACCTGTTCCCAAATACAAGTGGAAAATTGACAAACAAGGGTTCTTGATGTGATTCGATATTCCAGTTTTCTCAATTTACAAGTGGAACTTTGCTGACAAACTATTCCTTTCTTTCTGAGAATCTTTTATCAGGCCTCAATTGGGAATGGTTCTCAACCTTCTAAGTCAAACCTGTTCCCAAATACAAGTGGAAAATTGAAAAACAAGGGTTCTTGATGCGATTCTATATTCCAGTTTTCTCAATTTACAAAGCACAACCCTATATATGTAACTTGTTAGATGGGTTAAGTTAAAGTTTGGATTCGTCAAAATGGCATATCAAAGCTCAAAATTCATCATTCTCTTTTATGAGACATAAGATGGTAAGAGGATATATGACATATAAAATGTCCATAATTTATTTGTTTAATTAAGCATTTGGATTAGATTGGTGTCTTATACTAAGACTGTTGAATTGACCAACTCGGACACTTGATAAAGCTAATTGAAGAGCTCTAACTAATGCCAAAGAGAATGGCAACTGTTCCCCCCTAAGTGGAAGCTAGTTAAAGTAGAGAAACACTGAACCATCTTTCCCCCAAAACAATCACTTAAGTCACCTCTTGCCACCAACCTACCTACCTACCCACCTCCTGTTCCCTGTTCTTTTTGTAACTAGCCCCACCTCATGTTCCAACACCTCAAGTACCTCGCCCCCCCCCCCCCCCACCATCAGAGTGCAATTCCAGCTCTGCCCTGTCTTCTATCACTTTAGAGTCACCCTACAGAAAGAGTTGCAACAAATGCCTAACTAGGTTGTGGGGGGAGGGGGGGACAATCCATGGCTGTAAAGATGACATCAACAATGTTCTTTGCGATAGAGGTAAATTTGGGGGAAGGAAAAGAAGAGAACCAAATGGGCCTGTCAATCTACATTGCTCGCACAAGTCTGTACTTTTACTGCGCTCTCGTTTGGCTGCCGACATCAAGGGACTCATCCTTCCTCAATCGTTCGCCGTCATGTGGATTCTTGAGCTAATTTCATGTATTGCTTCCCACAATCCTACAGCATTACATACTACAAGGCAAAGGAGATGAGTGCAGGAGCAAAGGAGATCACTCTAAGCAAGCGTACCGCATCGAATGGGTGTTGGAGAACGGGGAACGCCGTCGACGAGAACAGCTCGGGTGGCCCCGGGCAGGCGTAGATGAGCAGCGAGAGCAGAAGCAGAGAGCAGGCCGTGATACCCGTCCTGCGGCCGACGACGACGGCCTTGGATGACTCGCGCGCAGAGGCTGCTCCACTGGTTGCCAGATCCATGGGGGGGACCTGAGCCGACCAGATGTGCCGCCTGTTCTTCTCTGAGTACTGCGACGAAGGCAGCAGCAGCATCGCCCGATGTGGTGTGGGAAGCGGCGGTGCCTTTTATGAAGCAAGTGCAGAGTTGCAGAGTGCAGAGTGTGAGCAGCGAGCACTCCGTGGTGGGACCGGAAAGATACATAAAGAAAGTAGAGACGGTGTGAGAGACCGGGCGGTGGGGGGAGCAGTTTGCCTAATTTCGTGTACTTTGTTTCACCACAAAAGAGGATCAATCAATCACGAGAAACCATGTGTAAATTTATGATGATTGTTGGGCAAATTTAATGGAAGATAATAAAAAAAAACTCTCTTTATAAAATAATCATATTTTAGATTTTTTATGAATTATATCTCTTTTGAATTTTTAAATAATATCCTTAATTAAAAATAAAATTATCCCTCAAAAAAATTTATAAGTTTTGCCTACCACAATAAAATATTATAAAATCAACTTAAAATTTTTATAAATAAGTCAAATAAAAAATGTTAAAAATTATTTGATATATCATATTATGATTCGAATAGGTATTTATAATAGTTTAAGAATAATATACCTAAATAGAATTAAAATTTTAACTTGTTATAATATTTTGACCACCATACCAAAACATTATAAAACTTACTCGAAAATACTATAAATGATCCAAAAAGACACAATTATGAGCCTTAATATAGAAGAAATGATAATATAACAAAAAATATACATTTATACTTTTTTTAGTACTTAGATAAAAATACTATAAATTAGTTATATAAAATATTATAACAGTTTAAAATGAGTAAAAAATAAGCAAAAAATTAATTGAATTTTTTTAGATATTTTTTAAATTAGGAGCACTATCCAAAACAAAAACAAAACAGGTGGTAATGGTTAGAAAATATCGAAATTATGGATATTTTCTAAGGAAATCATCCACTAAAAATTTAGTATGAAATAAATTTATAACAAGAAAAAAAAATCTAAAAATTAAATATTAATCATTTTAAAATACTTTATATGTTTCAATTTTATTAAGGATGACATAAGAAACACTCAAGTTTATAAGATTATGTTTTGAGTATTTTATGGAGTAGTGCAGAGTGTGAGCATGCGAGCACTGAGTGGTGGGACCGGAAAGATATGTAAAGAAAGTAGAGAGAGAGAGAGAGTGGGGGTTGGGGGGAGTAGTTTGCCTAATTTTGTGGAGTTGTTCACCACAAAGAGGATCAATCATGGAAAACCATGTGTAAATTTATGATCAATGATTATTGAGCAAATTACAAGGAGGATAAAAAAAAATGCTCTCTCTCTAGAAAATAATCATTTTTTATTTTTATTTTTTATAAAAAATACATCTCTTTTGATTTTTAAAAATTAATTTAATTAAAAACTCAAATAATCTCTTAAAATTGATTATAGTGTTTTGACTATCACAATAAAAAAACACTTAAAACTTACTTAAATATAAGTTAAATAAAAATATATTAAAAATCATTTGATATATGATTCAAATAAATATTTATAATAGTTTAATAACAACATCACTCAAATAGAAATTAAAAAATATCTTATTATAGTATTTTAACCACCATAATAAAATACTATAAAATCTACTCGAAAAATATTATGAATGATTCAAACGAAATTTTAGCCTTAATCAAATCAACTATGAGCGCTATATGAAAATTTGTTAAGGGTAAAAAAAAAGAGTGAAAATTTTTTAAGGGTAGTTTGGAAAATTTTAAATTATGAGCACTATATGAAAATATCAAAAATGTTAGTATTTTCTAGAAAATTTATCCTTTAGAAATTTAGTATGAAATAAATTTATAGCAAAAAAAATCGAAAAATTAAAGGTTAATCATTTTAAAATACTTTATAATAGAGAGAGAGAGAGAGAGAGAGAGAGAGAGAGAGAGAGAGAGAGAATATGAAAATGAAGTCATACATAAGTAGTCAAAAGATGGAACTTAGAAACAGATATATGACTCGAAAAATCATCAGTTTATCACAGTGAATTGTTTATGAGATGGAGGATTGGCATTGAATTTAAGTGAGTGAGATTTCATGCGGGTAGCCAAAACGAAATGGTAACAAAAAGGAATTGTTAGGACATAACAAATGTCAATTACTAGCATTAATGCGGTGTATTAGTAGACTATCATTTGTCTTCTTACTCACATTTGTCATTGTAGCTATCATCTTTACAGCTTTATATCTCTCCTAAACTATTTTATCATTTATCATGATAAATTATTTATGTTTTTTATAATATTATCTTTAAATATATTGAAAGATAAGACTGTATCGGATTTTACTTTAACGAGAATCTCATACATTAAATATATTTTTTATCATGATAAAAGACACAGGGGAAGGAGTTAATACTTCAATCAATCAAAATATTATGTCATTCATTGTCTCACAAATATTTGTATTGTTAATCAATAAATAAAATTAACAATAAATTTACATGATTATTAATCATATTATTATTATTATTATTATTATTATTATTATTATTATATATTGCTGTTCTAAAACCTTAAACTTGATCGAGATTTGTGAGAAAACTGGTGACGAATGGCTGAAATATTGATTTAAAGAGAGTGAATGCACGATGTGACATTTCATATGGGTGATATGAATGCAACATGCGAGAGTCCGATCTCATATGACCTGCATACAACCAAACGTACATAATAACTCGTCGGCAACCAAACCCATGATGATGTTGACCTGATGTTGAACTCCTTGAGTCGACACATTAAGCTATAAAATGTGTGGTTTTGACCTATAAAATGGACAACCTCTATATTGATTCCAATAATTGCCTTTTAGGATCCATGATTGTATAATCATTCCAAATTTTGGAGCCCAAAGCCACCTTAATGAGATGACCTAACTCAAGCACTGACCAAATAAATAAGTTGTTGAACACCAAAAAAATTAAATGGCAATAACATTGGAAGCAACTCTAATGAAGAACAAGACTGATGATGCTATGATGTTTTTTACTCGAGTGAAATGTTGTAGTAGGAGCATTGATAATGTGGGTTGTCTAAACTTAGAAAAATAAATATTTAAAAATAATTGATACAAAATAAATCTAATCTGTCATTACTTATCTATATTAATGAAAAAAGTTTTTTTTTTTTTTTTTATCACGAGAGAATAAATTATAAACTACATTAAGTTCATAAAATATTTTTTAACATAAGCTCCAAAGAATTTTTCTGATATATATATATATATATATACTAAAAAGAACCCTCATAAACACTCGAGTTTTTCCTACATCATCCTTAATAAAAAATCTAAAATATATATGGTATTTATGAAATCATTAACTTTTATTTTTTATTTTTTTCTCGATATAATTTTTTCATACTTCAAATTTGTTATCCTCCATGTAATTTGATTTCAAAATTCTAAGCTGAGAAATCATTAATATATATATATATATATATATCAATGACATGTACACAAATGGAGGATGTTAACATTTAGTGCATATATGCTATATATTGAATTTTGTATGTTTTTCTATTTATAAGTAATTTTATTTTATATATTTTTAATTATACATAATTTTATAAGATTAATTATATATTATCCTATGCAATTAATTATTTTTAACATTCCTTCTACTTTCAAAAATTACATTGGGATCTTTATACGAAATTAAAACATTTAACCTCATCTCTCCTTAGGTCGTTGATTTCGTTAACGGAAATACTGCACGTGCTTAATAGTAAACCGAAGTGAGGTAGAATCTACATGTGCTTAATGGTAAACCTTGCTATCATAAATGGTCATCGCGCACCTGCAACAGCTTGAACCATTTGTCGCTTTTGCATACTTGTACATATGTTTGGTAGTATTTTTTCCCTTATTTTTATGTGTTTTTTACTTGTAAAAATGTAAGCTCAAATAAGTTGCAGCTCTACAATTGACCGCTCGTTGTGCTAGGTAAAATTGTCCCAAAATAATTTCGTTTTCACGTGCCACAATCTATTTTCTACAAACTACAACTACACGTGAAACGTCAATCATCTCAACATCTCGGATCCCCCCGGGTGGCATTAGGGAGGATGAGGCTTCGTAATAGTATCGAGCGTTGAATACTCTTCATAATTTCGTACGTTAACTTGATGGGAACTTGCCTTCATGTCCGACACCTAGTAACCAGTTGTTTGTGGACTTACAACTGTTCGTTCAACCTTCTAAAGTCATTGTTTCCTTATTTCTCTCTTTTATCTCTTGCATTAAAGGTGCTTATTGAATTATTTGTAAAGCTTTCCTCTTCGTAGGATGTCGGGACTTATTCGTCGCTCATTTTTAAATTAATCAACTTGTTGTTTTCCAGGTCAATTCGAGACCTTCACGAGGTTGTAACTAAGTTGATCCTTTATGGACGCATATATCGTAAGAGCGCCTCATTGCGACTTAAGCAACTCTAACTAAGTCCGTGATACTACAGTATTTTCTCAATAGAGTCGACGACACGAAAAGAAACGAGATTAAATATTTCACTTTCATAAATATAGAGATATAAATGTAACTTTTGAAAGTATAAAGATCGAAATATTAAAGATCACTAATTACGTGTGGTAATATATAATTAGCTTTAATTTTATATTTAAAATATAGATGTTTTGGTATTGATATGTATGATGATGATTCCCAAGAGATACACATAGATGTCTTGTACTGAAATCACTCTGTGCCTTTCTTGCATGTGTTTGAAATTACATTGGAATGCTAAATGTTGGAAGGAAGACACAATCAATCATAATTAGAGAACTCAATAGGGAGTAACTAATATAACAAAATTGAAACATACGATATATAGGGAGTAACCTTTGTGGACAGGAGGGGACTGTTTTGGCACAAGATTCCCTAAATTTCTTGTCTACATGTTCATTAATTTTTGGGTCCCAATGTTTCAGTAGTCTAATTATGCGAGTCACAGGCTTTATATGTGCAAGTTTGTGGCCAGTCGAAATTTGTAGGATTGGACTTTCCAAAGGTTTAGGGTTGGAGCAAGTAGTGATGGTAATGTGGCAACATGAGTCCTCCCTTTTGATTCGATATTTCTATCTTCTCTTCGTCCCA